GACCACGGAGTCCTACGGCTCGCCTTCGCGATGGTGGGCGCTGCCGCGGCGGGGGACCCCATTCTTGCCCTTGGGCCCGATCTTTCCGCCGCGGGCGGGGGCGGGAGTCCAGGGCGGGACGGGAGCCCCGATCGCGGTGGGCCCCATGGGGGATGGGTAGGGCTTCGAGACCTAACCCGCGCTACTCTCTTGCGCGGGTGCGGCGCAGTGCGGGCGGAGGGGGATGGATCTCCGACGCTCGCAGCGTCTGGTGGGGGGGCCCCCTCGCTGCTCAGAGAGCCGCTGCGACAGGGAGCTGGAAATCAGCGCCATCGGCTACGACGCTGGCCCCAGCGCCTGCGCTACGAGACGGCCGAGCCGCGGCGGCAGGCTTTGGCGCTGCTCAGCGAGCTGCGGCGAGAGGAAGTTGGGGACCAGCCTTAGCAGCTTCAGCGCCGGGACCAGCGCCTCCGGGTCGAGAAGGGTGAGCCGTCGCACCAGGCTCCAGCATTGCCCGGCGACCTGCGGCCACAGACCGCTGGAAACCAGCACTTTCGGGTACCACGCTGGCCTAAGCGCCTGCATTGCGGGACGGCCGAGCCGCGGCGGCAGGCTCTGGCGCTGTTCAGCGAGCTGCGGCGAGCGGAAGCTGGATATTTGCCTCAACAGCTACAGCGCCGGGATCAGCGCCTGCGGGTCGAGAAGGGTGAGCCGTCGCAGCAGGCCGGAAGCTCGCCGCTCTATGGGCGGGGGGGAGAACGCGCTGGAGCTCCTGGGCCGCGCAAGGGGCACGCCGACGGGGAGGAAACGCAGGAGGCGGGCCCCGGCAGCCGAGGGCCATCAATGACGGATTGCCCCTCCTTTCGTGCGCCCGTCGAAGGGCGAAGGAGGAGGAGGAGGAGGAGGAGGAGGAGGAGGAGGAGGAGGAGGAGGATATGGAGGAGGAGGAGGAGGAGGAGGAGGAGGAGGAGGAGAAGGAGGAGGAGAAGGAGGAGGAGGAGGAGGAGGAGGCTCAATGGCCAGCGCCAGCCCTGGGCATGGCCAGTGGCCACCCCCGTCGGGCAAGAAGGGGCGCAGTCGGCAACGCCGCGGCGCCCCCCTGACGGCCCCACCCAGGGCCGTGCTCGGCCCGCAGGGCCCGCTGAAACGCCAACGGATAGCGCAAGCGCCGCGGGCGTGGAGCCTAGCGAGGCTGTCATCAGCGCCGGGCCGAACACGGGCTAAGGAGGGCGCGCCTCGCTGGACCAGCAGCACCTGGCCTTGGCGACGAGCAGGTGGAGATCGACGCCGCGCGCGCCGACAGACTCGCCGACGGCCGCGCCGACGACCTGACCGACAACGGGCGCCCCGCAGCCTCGCCGACAGTTTCCCCGGCGGCTCCGCGGGCAGCCTGGCCGACAACTTCAGCGGCAGCTGGGCCCCGCGCGACCCTTCAGGACGCGGCTCACGTCGGCGCGCTGGCGCGAGAGCGACCCGCGGGCTCCGCAGCAACTGACTTCAGCGACAAGCAGGTGGATATCGACGTCGCGCACGCCGGCGACCGACAGCCAACGCCGACGGCCTCGCCGACAGGGGGCGGCCCGCAGCCTCGCCGTCAGCTTCGCCAGCGGCTTCGCCCAGAGCTTCGCCGACAGCTTCTGTTGCAGCGAGGCCCCGCGCCCCCCTTCGAACGCGGGCCGCGCTGGCGGGAGGGCGGGCCGCAGGCTGCGTGGTCGAGCGTCAGCATCGGCGGAGCTCCACGCGACCCTTCGGGACAGGGGCCACCGCGGGGGTCTCCGCGAGTCCTACGCGCGGGGCCCCTGTGAGCCCGGCACGGAAAGCGAGCCTGACGTCGGCCTCGCCGACAGCGGGCGGCCCGCAGCCTCGCCAACAGCTTCGCAAGCAGGTCCGCCGACAGCATCGCCGACAGTTTCAGCAGCAGCGGGGTCCCCACGCGACCCTTCGGGACGGGGGCCGCGCTGGCGCGCTGGCGGGAGAGCGGGCCGCAGGCTCCGTGGCCAGCTGGAGCCAGCGGTTCCCGCATCGCCGCTCGAAAGATAAGATCCCCCCCGCTCAGGGGCCGTCGACCGCGCGCCCTGGGGCGGGCCCCGGGCGGAGTTCAAAGGCGGTCCCCGAGCAGAGGGGGGTTCCGTGCGGTACTCCAGGGTGCCTCCAGGATCGTCTTGAACCCCACCCTCTGGCGGGCCCGCATCCCTCCGTCGCGGCGGGGTTGGGGGGCTCTGGGCGGGAGGGGTGGTGCCCCCACCGTGGAGGGCCCTGGCCCCATGGAGGATTGGCAGGGCTTCGAGGCCGCGCCCATTGCGGCCGTGCCCGCTGCGGCACTCTGGCGTGCCTTTGGGATCGTCTTGAAACCCCGCCCTTCGGTGGGCGCCGTCACGGCGGGGCCCCCCTCCCTGCCCGTGGACCCCCATCATTCGGCCGCGGCGGGGGTGGGTGTCCAGGGCGGGAGGGGTGCCCCAATCGCAGAGGGCCTTGCGGAGGATGGGCAGGGCTTCGAGACCGAGCCCTCGCGACCCGGCTTGCTGCGGCACTCTGCGGCGCGTATCGTTTGGAGCCCCACCCTCGCCTCGGGTCGCGCGGGGGGCCTCTTTCTTGCCCGTGGACCCCTTTCCTCCCGCCGCGGCGGGGGACGGGGTCAAGGGCGGGAGGGGTGCCCCAACCGCGGAGGGCCCTTTGGAAGGTGGGCAGGGCTTCGGGACCGCGCAGCGGTTTCACTCTCACGGCACCGCGAGCCCGGCTCTGGCCACGCGGCTGGCCCCTGCCTGCAGAGCAAGCGACTGGGGCATCAAGTCCTCGGGAGCGAACGCATCCCGCGTCGGGCTCGGCTCGGCGGCACCCCGGTGAGGCCGGGCGGGCCCCGACGCGCGTCCGCGGGGGCGCCCCGTGTTCCGCCTCCGTGGATCGAGGTGGCGCCGGATGGGCCCTGGGCGCTCGCGCAGCGTCCGCGGGGGGCGGGCCCGGGAGCCGCCTCCTCGCCTCCAGGGCTCCTGGCCCACTCCCATCGCAAGGGGGGGCGGAATCCCAGGTCCTCGGAGTGGCAGGGGCCCTGCGCCTGCGCAGCGCGCACAGGGCCCCGCGGAGCCGCCACCCGTGAAGGAGAGAGGCGTCGCCCGTAAAAAGAGAGGCACCATCGCAGCGCAGCGCGTCTGTGTTTCGTCTTCGGCTGCCCGACGTGCGTTGCCATTTGGGCTCAGGCGCTCGGCCGATCTGAACCACCCGCCGCCACCACCCTGGGGCCTCAATTTCCTGGGGGCGGCAGGAGCTCCGCGCAGCGCACGGGGCCCCGCGGTGCCGCCACCTATAAGAAGAGGCATCACCGCCATTTCGTGTCCATCTATTTCTTTCATCGCACTGCTATTCGGGCTCATCGGGTATGTTTATTTCTATGAAATGTTTCTATACATGTATGTATACACACGTTTATAGAGTTCCTGGGCTCACATTGGCTGATCTGTGCGCCTCTATGTAAGCTATGTCGGCTTGGGTCCGAGTCAAGTTTTGCTCAAGATCGACTTGAGTTGGCAGACGTTCGACGCAGCCTCGACGCATGAGCGCACCGCCAAGGGGTGAGATATGCCTTTTGCCGACGAGAATGGGGGAGAAAGTCTGCCACTACGGGCACTGCGGGGGAAAGCCGGGGGCGGCCAATTCCCCCCCCTCCATCCGCCCACCCCCCCCCACACCACCTCCGCGCCCACTCCTGGACTGGACGGTCGGTTCCCCAACAGCATTGGGGACGAGGAGGAAAAGGACGAGGAGGAGAGGACGAGAAGGACGAACCTGTATAGGAGGGAGGGAGAGAAGCAGGTACTTGTGAGAAGCGAGGGAACTGGAGTGATGGGCGATCTTCACTTCATTGTTGTTGCTTGCCTTCGTTCCTTGAGCGTGTGCTCTTCAGCTTTTGTATATCATCATATGTTTGGCAACGTTGTTGTTTGTTCGTTGTTTGATGCTGATGTGGTGACCAAGTTCCTTCCCATCCTCCCCCTTGTCTCTTAATTGTTCCTGGGGAGGAGAATGGACGATCATGGGGAGGAGGAATGATATAGCGAAGGGAAGAGCAAAGTTGTTGATCCACTTCTTTCTGTCGTCGCAGAGAGCGATGTTGCTCATCGCCCTGCCATGTCTTCGCCACAGGTCTCT